AAAGATGCAAGAGAGAGAGAGGGAGAGAATGACAGAGAGAGAAAGAGTAAATGAAAGAAAAAGAGATGGTGAGAGAGAGAGAGAAAGAGAGAGAGAGAGAGAGTATGAGAGAGAGAGAGAGATAGTATGAGAGAGAGAGAGAGAGAATGACATTATTATGTAATACGTATAATATAATTTAGTTTGATTCCATTTATTACAACAGCTATACTTGGCGTGACAGTTATCTGTTTATGCTTGCTTCTAAATTACCCCCTGTATGCAAGGAATGGCCGGGGTTACCGTCCACAGGCGGCGACGGGTTTGTTTATTGCTAGACGAAACCGCTAACACTACACAACATAGAGAACGAAAGAGAGAAAGAGAAGAGAAGAGAGAGATAGATAGATAGATAGATAGATAGAGAGAGAGAGAGAGAGAGAGAGGATCTAGCCAAGAGAGGATCTTACTAACATCCTTTTGACTCCCCCCCCCCTCCATTCTTCTACAAGAGTCTACCCCACAGATCCGTTTTCTATTAAGCCGAAATCCCTCGGACAATTTCTTTAGGAGCAATTTAATACACTATTTATGGGCGTTTGTTGGGTCGAAAAGGCAATTATTAGCTCGGAATTGCTGCCCGAGGAGAGATAGGGAAAAATAATCAGCAACCAAGTTTAAATATGGCTACAAGACAGTATCCTACGCACACACATATGTATACACACATATGTATATGTAAATGTCTCTCTCTATCTATAAACACACACACACACACACATATATATATGACCATATAGAGAGATTGGCAAATATATATATATATATATATATGTATACATATATATGTATATATATATGTATACATATATATGTATATATATATGTATACATATATATGTATATATATGAGTATATAGATATAGGTGTATATATAAGCGTAATAAATAATAAAGTCAAGAATCGCTTGTTTAAGGGAATCGCTTATATAAACCAGGATATATAACCAGAATAAATAAGCTCTTTTACTACTACACAGTAGCCGCCCCCCCCTAATCCCTTGCGCATTGTTGTCGCAGGGGAGAGGGGGGGGGGGGGCTTAGGAGAGGAGGACTCAAGCCTCAACTAATTTTACTTGGTCTTTCCTTATTCTCTTTTCCTTTTCCTTCTCTTCTTCATCCCTTCTTCTGTCCGTAATACTTTATCATAATGCTATACTTGGGAGCTTCTTCCTTAAGTCCCATCCAGTCATTGCATTATGAATACACTGCTAATGACCTTTGATGCTCACGCGGCAAAAAATGTTCAATAAATAAACACACACACGTAAGCACGCACACATACACAAACACACGGGCACATACAGACGCACACACACACATACACGCGCGCACACAAACACACACATACACACGCACACACAGACACACACACACCCCCGCACGCACGCACGCACACACACACACACACACACACACACACACACACACACACACACACACACACACACACACACACACACATATACACACACACAATTTCCAAACCCGAAACAAAATCTGTAAACCATTGCTATAGGCCTACCGTGTGTCGTGTTTATTTTTTCACCAAAAAAGCTTAGGTGTGCTTATATTTTACGACGGAAGTGCACTGAACATATTTCTAGATCATTCTTGTAACGAGAGTTGAAAGAAACAAACCATGAACACGATTTTTCTCGCTCTTAAGAGACTCACAAGAAATATTTAGAAACTTTTCCTCTCAAAACGCACACTATCTGATCAGCTCATGTCTTTTGTAAAAGGTTTTTGTAGAGCGAGTGTACATTTTGTAATATGGCTTCGATTGCAATGAACACTGAGATTAAGAGATCTTTTAAAGATAAAATAAGTTAAATAAAGATGATCAAGTAAAAACGAGAAAGAAGTAAATGCCTGTAAATAGCAATAAAATGGGGATCTGTTCTCCGTAGTCTGAAAAAAATATGATTTTAGCAAAAACTGCTCCATACTGACTATACGCTAAAAATGTACTGACCGAATTGGGTATTTTATGCTCCTTGTGGTTATTTGTATATAGATAAAAATGCCTTTATTTCCATACAAAGGAGCACATTCAATATGGTAATAACTCTCTTGAGAACCAAATTGAGAAAGGCAAGGTAGAGAGAGAGAGAGAGAGAGAGAGAGAGAGAGAGAGAGAGAGAGAGAGAGAGAGAGAGAGAGAGAGAGAGAGAGAGAGAGAGAGAGAGAGAGAGAGAGAGAGAGGAACACACACAAACTTACATATATATTTGTATAGATGTTAATATAATTATACACATACACACACACACACACATCGCCATTACTCCATCAAATCTCCAGTCTCTATTTACTGCGATGATCTTAGCCGCCTGACGAGCCCCATTATACAGACTCTTAAATCTCATTCATTCTAAGCCTCACTTATTTTATTTCCGTAATGAAAGTGAAAAATGACAATTGAGGTCTTTTTGGTGTTAATAGCCCAAGGCCTTAAAGGCTTTGGAAGAAAGAGCGGGAAAAAAAAACTTTTTTCTTTTTTCTTTATTCCGTTTTCTTTGTTTCTTTTCAGCAGTCGTTGTTGGTGGCAGCGGTTCTCCCTTGAATCCTCGCTTTCTGTGTTGCTTTTTTATGTCTCTCTTTCTCTATCTGTGTCTGTCTGTCTCTGCTTATTAACCATTCCTTCTCCGCGCTCTCCCTTTCAGTCTTTTCCATATATATAAAATTTTGATTGATTTTTTTTTTCTTTTTCCACAACCTCTTATTCTCATTATCATTCTCTCAATCTTCATTGCTTCTTTTTTGCTTTCTCTTCCCTTCTCCCTCATTCTCTTGTTCTCTATCTCCCACTTTCTGCTCTCTTCCCACTCCCTTTTTCACATTTTCTTACTCTCCATTTCCCCTTATCCCCTGTCTCTCCATTCTCTCTCTCTCTTCTCTTTTCTCTCCCATCTCCTTATTCATGTGTCCTTTTGAAGCTTCATCGATTTTGTTTCGAAACCTTGAACCTCTGTCCAACTTCTGTTTGTCTTTTGTTTGTGATTTAATTCATTTCTGTAGCTGTCCTATATGCAGCATCATTTTTGCCTAGTTTATCCATATCCATTATTGTATTTTTTTTTAACCTACTTTTCCGTTCGATTTTTTTCTTTCTTTTCTAAGAATCTTCATCAACAATTTCCCGATTCCTGCTCCTGACGTCATTATGCCTCGTCCTTTTCTCGAAGATCCATAATACGATGTTACCTTACGCTTCTTATTACAAAGTATTGGATTTTCTGTAACTGGATCGCGAAGGGAGGGGGAGGGGAGGGATGGGGAGGAGGTAGGGGGATGGCCTTATTGTTCTCGTTTTCTCACTTATTCTTATTCTTGTTTTTCATTCTCTTCCACTTCCACCTTCCTCCTTCCTTTCCTTCCCCTTACATTTTTCCCCCTTATTGGTTATTATTTTTTCATTCTCATTTTTCTTTTTGTCATTGTATTCTTCTTCTCTTTCAATCTACATCTTCTCCACTGCATCAAGCGGCTTCAAATTATCCAACATCAAAATAACAACAGATGTAAGGGTAACGAGCGACAGATCCTTGCTGTCAGGTAGAATTTCGGCTCATGTCATATATATGTGTGTGTGTGTGTGTGTGTATTTGTGGGTTTGTGCGTGTGTGTGTGTGTGTGTGTGGATATAGATATTGATTCAAGTTATAAAAGGTACATATGCTAAAATTGTAAAGATGTCTGGATCATGCAGAATTGCCAAACCTCACCAAAATGTTTATTTACATACTTTTAATTTGAAGGCATATCCATATAACAAAATATTGTGTTATAAATAATTGGGTGGATACAACAACGGTATTAGGCTGCCCGCACACGAGCAACTTTTTATTGTGAGTTGTCACAACAAAAAATTGTCGCAATTAAAAAATTGTCGCAACGAAAAGTTGTCGGCAAGGTACATCCGCACACGAGCCACGCGATGGCGACAACTATTGTTGTGTGAAAATATATATTGGTCTTATTATGACAGTTCTAATAGGTCGGTGTCACCTGAATTCAAAGAATATTCTGATGCTGGTGACGAAGCTGTGGTGGTGATATTTGATTCCGACTGTTGAAATTCGCGATTTTCTTGTGAATGATGTAGCTGAGGTTGATAAGGTTGGTTGTGAAGGTATCCAGGGGTATGAACAAATTCTTGAGTTGAGTGGTGACCTTCACGTATCTGGTGCTGATGCATGTGATGCATACCACTTGTAGGCAGATATCTTTGGGTGTTCAGAGACATATCTGGTACAGCAACGTACGGTTGACAAGTGCTTGTAGAGGGCGTATTGCCATGATAAGCAGTAGATGGAATCTGTGTCGTCATCATCTGTACTCTTCTCATCACTTTCATTATTTCTATCTGTGCTTCAAATCTTTGCTCATCATTGAAATTTTTAAACTTCGGAATTAGTGACATAACAAAGGCTGTATCCTCATCACAATTTTCTTTAGTCTTTCCTCTTAATATTTCAAGTAGTTCTTCTTCATATCTGTTGTTGGAAGCTCCTTGGATTTTTCTTGGTTTATGTGGTCTTTGTGCGTTATTCATGTTTGCAGAATTACTTGGTGTGTCGCCTTGTTCACGTTCTTCCTCCTTATCATTACCCTCCGGTGCAGAGTAGTTACGTGTGGTTTCTCGCTCGTTAAAAGTTGGTGCAAGGAATAGGAGCTGATCAAAGTAAACATATTTCCTTTTCTTAGCGGCACCATCTCCTGACCTGCCTTTTTGATCATTATACACCCTCCTGAAGCATTCACGGAGATTTTTCCATCTTCGCTGTAGCTGGTTTTCTGAAATTTATGAAATTAATAATTTTTTTTTGCAGATACCTAGCAACGGGGAACAGCTTCGTTTCGCTTCATTTTGAGTACTGGCTTAGTGAATCGACAATTCGTCAAATTGTCTACAAAACATGTGAAGCACACAAGCAGTTTTTCTCAATTGTATCCATGGCGTTAGTTGACAGTGGGTGTTCATTTACGGCTATTGATGTTGGAGCTGCTGGAAAATCCAGTGATTCAAATGTGTTAAAAAAATCTGATTTCTGTAAAAAAATAGATACTGGGGAACTTAAGCTTCCACACCCATGCCCACTACCAAATGACAACAGTAGAATTTGCATGCCATACGTTATTGTCAGTGATGAGGCATTTGCTTTGACTGAGAATGTTCTACGGCCATATCCAAACAAAAATCTGACAGCTCAACGTGTTTTCAACTATCGTTTGTCACGAGCAAGGCGTTCAGTTAAATGCACGTTTGGTATCATGGCAAACACATGGAGAATTTTCCATAGACCTCTGGATGTTAAACCTGAGTTTTGTGATGTCATAGTTAAGGCATGCTGCATTTTACACAACTACGTAAAAAAACATGAGGGTGTCAACTTTGAAGAAACATTGTATGAATGTCCAATGAATGACATTGATCGTGTTGGCACCAGATGTAACATGAGAGGAAAAACAGTACGAGATCACTTTGCATCATACTTTACTAGTCCCCAAGGAGCAGTTTCATGGCAGTATAACAAAATATAAAAGGTCACCGCTATAAAAGTGAACCACCTGATAGATATTTTCCTTTCAAATACAATATGTTTCTTACCTTTTTTTTTTTATACTCAGGGGAGAGAATATTCCAATCGCTCACCACAGCCTCACACACCTCACGCCACAACTTCTCTTTTATATTCTTATCGCTGTATTCCTTCAGCTGGAAATCATAAAGAGGTGTTCTCTTCTCTACCTCTGTTATGAGTGTTTTGCAGTCAAATACATCTTTTATTACAGACATGATAGCTACCATTTCCTCTCACCACTGAAATCTGAAGGGGCAAGGCAACAGCAGGCTGGGTGGTGGCGACAACAGAAAGTTGCTTGTGTGCGGGCTCACATTTAAAATAACGTTTTCTATCGCCGGCCACAGTTGCCAACAATAGTTGTGTTGTCCGAGAAATTGACCCGAGCGCAACTCCCTCTCAATTTTTTGTTGTCGCCTCAGGAAAAGTTGTCTATGTGCGGGCTACCATAGCGATGTGTGTGTTCTATATTTGACAATTTTTTGGTTGTGACAACTCACAATAAAAAGTTGCTCGTGTGCGGGCAGCCTTAGTCAAAGGAGACAATTACGACTGTGTCAAGTAATGTATTGGGAAAGGAACAATAAATCCAAATAAAGTGGGGCAAGGAAAACTGTGAAAGAAACGAAGGATTGATCACTTAATTCTTCCGAGAAAATATAACTGGGGCTGAGGTTTTTGATTCCGTCTCACTATCATTTCTATTGTATTTAACTTTTTATGATTAAAAAAAAAATAATAATTGCTAGCATTTAACCTATTGTAACATGTCACCTGCTTATTACCATTATACTATTGAGTGTAAAGAAATTAAAACTTTTTTATAGGCATTGTAACCCTCGGCACACTTAGCAGAAGAATAAATTAAGATTAAAATTAGGAAAGTTAATATTGGGTTTTCTCGTGGTTTCCTTCAACCCCTGGTGGTGGTGGTGATACAAAAGGAACATTTTCATTATTTTGGAATAGAATTGACCTCGACAAATTAGCAGAATATGTTTTATTTTGTATTTGAAAAATTCGCGATATGACACACACACACACACACACGCACACACACAGACACAGACACAAACACACGCACACACACACACACAAACACACGCACACACACACACACACTCACACATGCACACATAATAACAGGAATTATGATAATAATAATGATAATGATAATAATAATAATGATAATAGTAATAACTATAACAATACTAATGATAAAGGTAATAGTAACATTGATAATAATAATGATAATAAATGCAATACTTACGTTATTGATAAGTAGATGGTTATAATGATAATGATTAAAAATATAATAATAGTAATGATAATGATAATGACAATAATAATGAAAATAATAATAACAATAACAACAACAATGATAATAATAACAATAATAATAATAACAACCGATAATAATAACAATAATAATAATAATAACAACCGATAATAATCATAATAATAACAATAAGGGTAATAATAATAATAATGCCAATAATAACAGTAAAAATGGTAACAATAATTAAAACAAACACAATGCTAATAATAATGACAAGTCTTTCAGGTATTTTCTGAAACATCATTACATTTTTCTGGTTTCTTTATTCTAAACCAATAGACCTAAATCTTTGCACAGTTGTTATTTTCATGTATTGTTTCTCCTTTTTTTTCTGCCAGTTTTATGTTGTCATAAACTCCCTCACTTGCTGGTATGTTTTGCTTTGTTGTATGTTGCATTTGTTAAGTATGTGGATTGTGGTTTGTTTGTCTCCTTACTGTGTTTTTGTTGTGAGAGAGAGAGAGAGAGAGAGAGAGAGAGAGAGAGAGAGAGAGAGAGAGAGAGAGAGAGAGAGAGAGAGAGAGAGAGAGAG